CAGATGTGCAGAAACTGGAATGGCTGTTTAAGTTTGATGTGTTTAAACTTGATAGTTTTGTTTCAAAAGCTTGGAAAAGAAGACAGGATATTCTGTTTAATTAGTTTGACTTCTTGCTTTCTTTTTTTGTTTCTTGAGAATTAAACTAAACTAAACTATGTAAAACTTTTAGCCAGCCAAGTTTTGGTACATGATTAATTTTTTTACATTTCATCCTACCATCAAATAAGGTAAATCAGTTTTCAATATGCAAACATTTATCAAAGTACCTGTTCTCTTCTCCTCTTAATTAACAGTACACAATGGAATGAGACATCTTGTGTTTAATAAACAAATGGCCTCTCTTTGAAGCAGGAAAACCTCTTAAGCCCAGTGACTAACAGAGGAATGCTTCAGAAACAGACTCTTCACTAGGACATTGAAAAGGGCAGTCTCGTCTCAGGATAGAGACGAGTTGATTCACCGTACTCAGATGAATACTTGACACAAGTTATATTTGGTAAACAGACCTGGTTTTTGTCAGATGTGTGTACATGTGTTTGTGCATAACTCTACAAGCCAGTATGCCAGTAAAAGTAGGCTGCAACACACCAGCCAGTCAGGGGGGCTGGACTGGTTTTAACCTACACTTAGAACAATTCAATTACCTCATCTCATAGATATGCACTGCTCATATTACACATGCCTTACAGATTTGCCCAATGGCAAGGCAACCACTCCATTTTTTTATTCTCTGCAGCTGGCTTTTGGACTAAGCTGGCAAGATGAAAGATGAATAGACAACTCATGAGGCTGATGTTTTTGTTGCAAATGAAAAAAAATTGCAAACCAAGAATGTATCTCAGTGCCCAATAATGGCTGCTTTAATGATTCACTTGGAGCACATACCGGTATGCAGGAGCCAGGTTACAGACAAAGGTGCTGCTTATTGCAGTGTAACCACAAAGAAGGCCATTTTTGGGCCCTTTATACAGCATCTCTGTTTACCTTGAAACTGAAATGTGTCTGGCAAAAAATAGATTGACATTCTATTTAATTCTCCTAGAGCCTGCATGTAGATCAACCATTAATAAACCAGATCAGTAGCTCGAACTTATGAAAAAAAAATAACCCAGTTTCTAGCATGTAGATTGAGTTTAAATCCCCAACGATACAGTAACACAAACATGCCTTACTGTATTAAAACACAATCTTTGTGACGGACATTAAGCACTGAAGCAGCTCACTAAAGTCTTTTTAAAAGGATTCTTTTCAGAAAGGACATTACTTCTCATATGTCTCATCTGAATTACATTAAACCGATCCCAACTGATGCATACACACCAATATGAATCACCAAGGGATCTCTCAAAATAAAGGAATTTCCCTCCAAATTCAGTTTTTTAGTGTGGCACATTTCCACAGAATAAGCAAAGCCTGTAATTTATTCGTATTTACTGAAATTTCTGATTGAAAACATTGAAAACACTGCAGGATAACCACCTTGTCTCTGGGGGGCAGCATCACACTTCACAGCGTACAATTATTAGTAGAAGAAGACGTCCACTTGCACTTCTACAAACAACCAAACAAACCAGCATACAGTGGAGCAAGATGAGCCAGCTGAATTTGCAACTAAAATGCTGTCAAGTTAAAACAGTTATTGACCATTATTCTCGAGTAGAAAAATGGGCAGAAAAAGCAGTGGAAACCTTCTTTAGGAGGACTGAAACGTTGTGTGATTTTTTCTAATAAATTGGTGATACTTAGCAAGAGTAGTGTGCAGGATTTATTCTTTTTTTGTAAAATACCACCCCAAATTACTGAGATTCCATTTCGGAGGGTATTACTTTTATCAGAGGACCTCTGTGTGTGCTGAAATATGATAGGTTAATTGCCCTGGAATTTTTATTTTGACAAATTACAGACATGGTCAATTCACACGGGATTAAAAAGACAGACATCCTCCACAATTATTACAGATGACCAGAGGTCCCCAGGAAATACTAGGGCTTTAGATTTCTGCTGCAAGTCCAAAACCAATGGTGCTGAATTGTGTTAAGTGTGACACCATTTACTAAAACCACACACCACAGCTCAAGCTTCCTCCACTAGCGGAGCCTACTCGTCTTCTAAAATGTTCCATCCTTCCTTTTGAAAAGGGGAGCAGGAGAACATAGTAAAGACATCATGCAAAGACAAAATATTTCTGGAGTACTGCTACTGAAATCCTCCTGATCTGGTTGTTCACACATGCACCTCATAGTGGGAGACTATCCCCACCCCCCAAATAGAATCACAAAACCCAACAGAGAAGAACATACTGACCAATAGAAAATGGAATGCAGCCATTTAATTACGTGCATGGAGATCGTAACAGACAGTGTGCATATAATCTACAGTCGTGCACCAATTACAGGAAATAAACATCACCACCTTCCCTCCCACTTGCTCTCCTGATTATATCCGTTGAGCTGCGTTCTCACATCAGCTGACTACACACAAAATCTAAGTGAAAATTTGGGCTTTTTTGGGTTCAGACATGCAGCTCAACCCATAAACGTAAACTTAAAATCATGATGTCCGCAGACTATATTTGTATTCAGAGCCACGTTGTGATTTACATTGAAATATAGTTCTCCCTAAATGAATGTCAATCAAGACGTCCTGAGACAAAAAGACAAAAAGCTAAATGGGCTAAATGGATAGGCTAAAATGAACAGGCCGTTGAGGTTTGTATTGTTTCTCAGTTTAAGACAGGAAACCATGACCCACCTACATAGTGCAATGTATTACAGCAGGGAAAATGCAACTTGACCTGCTGAACCATTCACCCGGCTTACAGTATGAGAAACTGTACGTCTCCAAACTCGATCTTTGATGAGCATGTTTACTACCTTGACCCCCAACATGAGCACACACTTGGCTGACTTGGGATATAAATAAACTGTCATCATGTGATACAGTGTGACCGTGTGGCCATATGGCAGGCTCGCCTCAGCATTTCAGGGTCACAGAGCAATGCTTTCTGCTAGTTTATTAGCACCCTAAACATAGCAGCCGGGGGAATGTGGCACCAGCAGATAGACAGGCTATAATTGTATTAAGCATAAAATACTTTTTGTTAGCCATTATAGACCTAATGACAACTACCATGTTGTTAAATAACAAAAGAATCAGTATGCCACCAAGTTGCATGCACCTATGTGTTTTAGGCTACCATAATAAAAGCAGTACATCAACAGACAAGACTCACTCATGAATAAGCTATAGGATGTTAACTGCTAGTGTTGAATAGCAGTGTTGAATAACTAACATAACATAACATAACATTGTTGAATAACAATGTAAATTTCCCCATTGTGGGATAAATAAAGGATTATCTTATCTTATCTTAGTGTTGAAAAGCAGCGACAAAAACTTCTCCTTACTTTAACTCTGATCCAGGTCTACACTCCCTCCCGCCCACTACGCTCTGCCAATGAAAGGCGTCTGATCCAACCTTCACAACAGGGTCCTAAGTCTTTGACTAGACTCTACTCCTCTGTCGCCCCCCGGTGGTGGAATGAACTTCCAAACTCCATGTGATCTGCAGAGTCCCTCTGCACCTTTAAGAAAAAGCTAAAGACCCAGCTCTTTATGAATACCTACTAACTTAATGATGATGGTCTCCATATTATTGATGATGATGATGGTAATGACGATGGTTTTTGTTTGATAACGATGACTTATAAGATGGTTTCTATACTGATTAGAGCTCTCAAGAACTGCCCTCAATGTTGTGCTTTGCCTCTGGTCACTTCCTGTCAGCACCTGTGTGTCCAATCAGACTCAAAGCTGATCGTTTGCTCTTACTGACATTGTTCCTTTTTTCTAGATCCTTGCTTGTGTTGTTCTTACTCTCTGATGTACGTCGCTTTGGATAAAAGTGTCTGCTAAGTGAATTGTAGAATTGTAGCAATTCCCCATTCAATCCAAGTAAAAAAAAAAAACGAGTATGGAACTAACCTACAGACAAATTCCTGTTGAAAGCCTGTAACAATGCACTCGCTGAAAACCACAACAGTGTTGTAGTTCCTAGAAGAAGAAGAAGAAGAAACGCCCTCCTAATAATAACATGACTGTTAGCTGACACGTGTCCAAACTGTATTGCTGATGGGAAATATTTTGGAACCAGTAGCCCTAACCTGAGTCCCAGTGACCCCTTTTCACGGGGGGCATCACATCACAGTGCCAGCAATAATGTTATGTTATAATGCAAATGTTGCTCTGAAACATGAGTGTGTGTGAGGAGGTTCAACTCCTAAAAGGAAAACAACAACATCATAGTAACGGTCACCACACACACACACACACACACACACACACACACACACACACACACACACACACACACACACACACACACACACACACACACACACACACACACACACACACACACACACACACACACACACACACACACACACACACACAGCAAAAACAATGGATAAGAAACATAACACACATGTTAGGCCTACTGCATGTTTCATATTCAAACAGGCATAGGTGCGCGCGCACACGCACACACGCGCGCACAAACACACACACACACACACACACACACACACACACACACACACACACAGGATAAAAGACTTAGGTGGACTAAACCTCTGAACTATGTGGAAGCTGGAGAGCTTTGACAAGCTGGTAAATAAAACAGAAAACACAACGCTGACCATAAACACACCAGTTCATTTCATACTCAACAACACAGACATAACCTCTTTAATCGTTGTCATGATTAGTGACGCGTATCAAAGGTCTTAACACGCATGTGTCACGGCCAGCTAACCAACCAGGTACAAGCCAAATGTGGCTAACTAACTGAGCTAACCAGGCTAGCTAACAGCAGAAAAGAAGCTAACTCCTGATAGCTCGCAGCTTAACGTGAAGCTACCGGCTCAGACACTCACACACGGAGGGCCACACGCACTCGTGTCGTCACAGCATCCCCTTATGGAGTAAAATCTTACCTTTGGAGTATAGAGATTTGGGGGAATTGAGGTCGAGATCCGAGCTAAGGAGGGATACAAAATCAGAGGGCATCGCAGCGCTTCATGGAGGGGAGGGGAAGCGGACACTCTTTTTTACAAGAAACGAAAAAACGGGCAGCTTTTGGTGCCAATAAATAACAAAGCGGAATGTTTTTTAATATACAGAGAATATAAAAAAAACGAAACAAAAAACAGAACTTTCTATGCCATTAAAAAAACCGTTAACCAGCACATCTCACGTCAGTGTGAGGTCTTTGCTGAGAGGAGACACTTTTCGTGCTACGTTGAGACGAGCACACAAACACACACTTGCCTACTGTTGGTCGGCCCACCTCTTAGCCCCTCCCCCTTTTTGCTGCCCCGGGGCATGCGCGTTGGCCAGGGTGAAATACAGACAGTCTGGTGTGCTATTGGAGAAAGTCTTATTTCTTTACCCATTTACAAGCTGAAATATCAAAAATATTTGACACAATTGTGCATTTATTGTCTTATTTCTGTACAAAATTAAGCCAATATATGTCAATTACAAGCCCCTCTGGGTTTATTTGGCTCCTCCAGCACATTTCTTTCAAAATGTATAGTTTGTTAATTAACTAATCATTATGTACTGTCTGTTTTTCCATTGATCTATTTTGTTTATGTTTTTTTTTGTGCAATAAATAAATAAAAATAATAATAATTATCAATCAATCAATTTCAATCATTTTTTATTTGTATAGCGTCAACTCATAAGAAGTGTTATCTCGAGACACTTTACAAAAAGCAGGTAAAAGACCTTACTCTTTGTTATATTACATAAAGCAGGTAAAAAGATCTTACTCATTGTTATGTTACAAAAAGCAGGTAAAAGACCTTACTCATTGTTATGTTACAAAAAGCAGGTAAAAGACCTTACTCATTGTTATGTTACAAAAAGCAGGTAAAAGACCTTACTCAAGCCGTCCATCAACAATCCGGTGGGGGTGGGGGGGGTTGTTCTGGCAGCCCGTCAACCAACGATCTCGAGGAGCCAAAGAGAGCTCAAGAGCACCCAGGAAAGTAGGTGGTTAGTGAATTAGTGAATTATATGTTATGTAGTTGGACACTTTAATGATTACCTCAATTACTTACATAGCACCTTTAATTTAATGTTTGCACTGCCTGTTATTTAATGTCTGTTTTCTTGATAATTTTGCACTATCTGCTTTTTAAACATTGCTGTACATAAACAAACAACACAACTTCAGAAGGTCAACACTTTTTTATTTTTTATATTCAGGTCTAATTACAGATTTTTTCCCTCAACTGTTTTTAGGTTCTTGTTTAAATCTCACATATATTTTTATCCCTGAACGGGTTATGTACATTTCTTGTATAAGTCTATTTTTTAATTGCACAGTTTAAGTTTGATTCATCTAGGGGTATTCTTTAAATCTTTTATTCAGGTTAATATATATGTATGGGAGGGGGGCGTCGGTTTTGTGGTTTAATTCTTAACAAATGTTTCATGTACGTCTTTGTAACCTGCTACTGGATGCTTTGAATTTCCCTCGGGATCAATAAAGTATCTATCTATCTATCTATCTATCTATCTATCTATCTATCTATCTATGTGTCAATATGTCAATACTGTCCATTTACAACTCTGTTTTTGCACATTTACACTTAATCTTTCATATTTAAGACTAGTAATGTTTAGTTAAATCCTGGTTGTATATATTCACATTCTTAGCTTTGATATTTTTAGTGCTTATTTACTTTGTATTTAATATTATATTGTGTTTAAATTAGCTAATATTGTGTTTTTTGCTAATTTGCTGTGTTTGGACAACCTGCTGCTGTAAGGACACAATTTCCCAGTTTGGGATCAATAAAGTAATTCTATTCTATTCTATTCTATTCTATTATATTATATTCTATACATAATCCCTCCAAATAATTAAATAGCCTCAAAGTAAAATAATTGAAGGGCCAGAACTTTTTCCTGGTCTCAATATTAAACACAAGTTTTTTACAGTCAATGTCTCCTCCCTGCAGAAGTATTTTCTCAGACTCATATTGGTATTAAAGGTTTGTTAGATGTCCCCTAACAGACATACCATGCACAATCTTCACTATTCACTGCCATACAACTGTTTATTAATTCAGTCGCTGCACTATAACAGTTTATTTATTGACCCACTCACTGCACAAAAAATGTTATTTATGTCTGCTTATTTATTTATAGCTACTTCTCAGTCTAGAACAACCTTTGTTGTATGTAGCCTACATAACTTTGCATATATATATGACCAAGATGCTGCTGTACAGGATTCCTGCCAACAAAGTTTCATTATGTTCCTATACAATGACAATAAAGCACCTATCCTGTCTTATCCTATCCTATCTGAATCATTTTGGCCTAAAAGCCTTCAAGACAACTCTGTCAGCCAAACGTGTTGGCCATTATAGCTCTATCATTTGGTCACACTGTATTTGCACCTATGTACTTATATTTAATATTTCAGAGATCACAATGTTAAATATAGGCCTACTTGGCTGATAGCTGCCAGTATAAAAACTATTTAGTACAGAAATGATAAAACAGAGAATAATGCTTGATTCATTCTTTGTGATGTATTTTTTCAAGTTGATCTTGCTTTGACTTCATTATTCAAATATATTTAACATTGTTTAAAGCACATAGAGCAAGGCATGAAAGCTCAGCACTGAAAACATATCCACATAACACTAAAAAAGGCATTTTGCAATGTTAGCCCGGAAATTCACTCCAGTCTTATTTCATTCGGCCAGATGCCAAACTATACCTTTGGCAAAGGCTCCTCAGAACTAAGGGCCAACTTGATTCTTAAAAATAAGGTAAACATATCTGTAATTATATGCAGAGTTACAATAAATATCAGTGTAGTCGGTGCAAATCTGTGCCGATTATTTTATGGTGACTCATGAATTTTATGTTAGTTTATTTTTATTTTTTTAAGATTTATTTTGGGCTTTTCGTGCCTTTAATGCAGAGACAGGACAGTGGACAGAGTCGGAAACCAGGGAGAGAGAGCGGGGAATGACATGCGGAAGGGGGTCACGGGTGGAAGCGATCCCGGGTCTACCGCTCGAGACGAGAGTCTCAACACATGGGACGCGCGCCCTAACCACTGGGCCACCAGTGTTAGTTTATTTAATAAACCTTGGCACCTTTTCTCTTTAAATCTGTTTCTGTGTTTCATTTTTAACTGGTCATTTATTTGACCCCTGTAAGGGGACAATGCAAAGTCTGAGTACCCCACCAGGGCCGGTGTTACATCAGCTTCAGCTGTCTGGTCGCACATGTTGAAATGGGATATCAATGACAATAGCTCCGCCCTGCCCCACTGGAGGGTACACATTTCTTATAGTGTTTCCTGTATTAAGAGTTAATATTAGGATTAATATTAAGAGGGTCCTGCCTGGATAGCATCAGAGGGCAAGTTCTTCAAAGTTTACACAAAAAAACAAAACAAAACAAAACAAAAACATCTATTGTATGGTACCCATTAAAGTCAATAGTGTTTAGCTGACCCTAAAAATCAAGCAGCAATGTGACATTCCAATCTGCACATTGCACTTTGACACCCTGGACACTTTACACTGTTTACATTATTCTATATTTTGTATATTCAAATATATATATTTTTTTAATTTTATATTATATTCTATTTTTACTTTATATATGTGTATTAGTAATTTGAGTGTTATTGCATGGCCTTGCGGAACAGTCTTTACATTTCACTGCACATCTGTATGAGCAGGTGACAAATAAGAATCTTGAATCTTGATATTCAGCCAGTAAGGCTTTTCTTTTATTACTATGGCATGGACTGTTTTCAAAATGTCTTACTGAGGGTATGAATTCAGTCAGAATCTGAGGCATTTGTGGGGTTATCAATTCTAAGTGTTTAGTTGGTGGAGGGAGGCCCTGAAGGGTTAATGGTCGGAATTAAAATACCTCTGATCCTGTCTTTGCCTACTGTAAAGTAGCTTAGAAGGCATAACCCTCAGTGAAGAGAAAGCCTAAAATACGTTCATTACCTAAATTAATTTTCCCCTCTTTGGTTTGAAATATAATATTCTCACATTATTTTATCTATTTCAAACAATAACCCTATTTTAAATATTAAATCACACGACATCGACCTTTGACCGTTTTTCCAAACTGCCAAACGGGTGTTCAGCCTCAATATCCCATAAGACACTGCGGCAATCGTCATAGTGTTGTTGCGGAAGTGCCTGTACACCGCTCTTGGTTGCTCTGTACTCTTGATAGTCACAGTCATTCTTTAAAGCAAATCTTCCTGTATGGTGTTTTGTTTTGTAGTCACAGTTTATTTAAAGTTATGGCGGCTCTTAAATACGCAGGTATGGACGATACAGACAGTGAGGATGAATTACCTCCCGGCTGGGAAGAGAGGTCTACTAAAGATGGTTGGGTCTACTATGCAAAGTAAGCACAATCTCTAAATGTTTATCTATTATGTTAACAATGTTACAGACGTCAGTTTTAGACTTTTCACAGCCTCATGAAGATTTTAATGTTCTGACCATAGTTCTGATTTAGAGGCTAGCTCCGCATGCTAACTCCACCTGTTTAAACATGACATCTAAAAATGCTAACATACATTACTATACAGAGATAAAAACAATTGTAGGTTTGATGCGAAATATTACTAGAAAAATATAAATTATGAAATGATTTATAATACTTAAAATGTTTAGTTGTGTGGTATCTGCAGTACTGTGACATAGAAGCTCTTAAATGATTAATTGAGAGGCAAAACTTCATCTCAGATTCAGATTCAGATTTTTTATTGTCCCACAAGGGGAGCACACAGAAGACAAGAAACACAAGGACAACATCACCATAAAACATGGACCAAAACAAATTTAAAAAATCAGACAACACAGCAAAATATCAAACCAAATTAAAACAGCGCAATAAAATCAGTCAAGAGCCCGGACCAGAATGGATATTCAAGTTATTAAATTGCAAAGTGGAGGTGTGCAAATGTGCAGTTCAAGTGCAAAAAGAGCAACAAGTAGCTAATTGTTGTTTAACATATTAATTGCACTAAAAATGAGACCTGAAGTCTTTTAGTCTTCCTCACAGGAGCTCTAAAACGACGACCTGAGGGTCAAAGGTCAAACTCACTGTGAAGTATGGCCCTAGCTTTCCTCAGGACCTGCTGATTACACAAGGTCAAAAGCCCAACCTGACAGGGCTAGGCTAACTTTTTGAATATGAAACAATTAAATCCTAAAGTATTAATTAATCTAGCTGTCTTTTTATTTATATTTTACAGGTATTAAAGTCAGTTTTGAATATGTGATGCCAAACATCGTTAGATTTATGTTCCTACTCTTACTTATTTTATTTTAGGAATATATGACATGTGTCCCTAATTTATAACTTTTTCTCTACTGCTTTTAAATGTTTTGTTTAATCTGCTGTTGTTTTAACAGAGTTTCCTTTTTTTCACAAAAGCTTTTATTGGATTATTTTTCATTATTATGCTGTTTACGTTGTGTTATCTCACATGGTTTGAATCTGTTTTTTTCTGGCTTTTTTTTCTCTGTTTTTATTATAAACCACATTTCTGCTGATGAGTATGATAATAATAATAATAATAATAATAATAATATTTATAACAACTTTATTTCTATAGCACCTTTTAAAAACACAGGTTTACAAAGTGCTTTGACAAACAGCAAAAACAAGAACAAACTAAACCAAACACAGAAGAACATAAACAACAACAAGAACATAACAAATGTAAAATACTGAAAAATAATTAAATACAATTCAACAGAAAAGAACCCAAAGTGCACGATACCCAACAGACATATAGAACCAGACCATCACAAGAACCATCACAAGAACCATCACAAGAACCATCATAAGAACCATCACAAGATACATCATAAGAACCATCACAAGAACCATCAGGAGAACCATGATAAGAACCATCACGAGAACCATCACAAGAACCATCATAAGAACCATCACAAGATACATCATAAGAACCATCACAAGAACCATCACAAGATACATCATAAGAACCATCACAAGAACCATCAGGAGAACCATGATAAGAACCATGATAAGAACCATCACAAGAACCATCACGAGAACCATCACGAGAACCATCATATAAACCATCACGAGAACCATCAGAAGAACCATCACAAGAACCCGACCATCACAAGGACCATCACAAGAACCATCACAAGAACCATCACAAGAACCATCATAAGAACCCAGGCAACACAAGAACCATCACGAGAACCATCACGAGAACCATCACAAGAACCATCACAAGAACCATCATAAGAACCATCACAAGAACCATCACAAGAACAATCATAAGAACCATCACAAGAACCATCACAAGAACCATCACAAGAACCATCATAAGAACCATCACAAGAACAATCACGAGAACCATCACAAGAACCATCACAAGAACCATCACAAGAACCATCATAAGAACCATCACAAGAACAATCATAAGAACCATCATAAGAACCATCACAAGAACAATCATAAGAACCATCATAAGAACCATCACAAGAACCCGACCATCACAAGGACCATCACAAGAACCATCACAAGAACCATCATAAGAACCATCACAAGAACCATCACGAGAACCATCATAAGAACCCAGGCAACACAAGAACCATCACGAGAACCATCATAAGAACCATCACGAGAACATGATAAGAACCATGACGAGAACCATGACGAGAACCATCACAAGAACCCGACCATCACAAGAACCATCACAAGAACCATCACAAGAACCATCAGGAGAACCATCACAAGAACGATCACAAGAACCATCACAAGAACCATGATAAGAACCATCACGAGAACCATCACAAGAACCATGATAAGAACCATCACAAGAACCATCACAAGAACCATCACAAGAACCATCATAAGAACCCAGGCAACACAAGAACCATCATAAGGACCATCACAAGAACCATCATAAGAACCATCATAAGAACCGAGGAAACACAAGAACCATCATAAGAACCATCACAAGAACCATCACAAGAACAATCATAAGAACCATCACAAGAACCATCACAAGAACCATCATAAGAACCATCATAAGAACCATCATAAGAACCGAGAAACACAAGAACCATCATAAGAACCATCACAAGAACCATCACAAGAACCATCATAAGAACCATCATAAGAACCATCACAAGAACCATCACAAGAACAATCATAAGAACCATCACAAGAACCATCATAAGAACCATCATAAGAACCATCACAAGAACAATCATAAGAACCATCACAAGAACCATCACAAGACCCATCACAAGAACCATCACAAGAACCATCACAAGAACCATCACAAGAACAATCATAAGAACCATCACAAGAACCATCATAAGAACCATGATAAGAACCATCACAAGAACAATCATAAGAACCATCATAAGAACCATCACAAGAACCATCATAAGAACCCAGGCATTTAAGCCGTTATTGGCTATTGGTGGCAAATCTACATTGTCTGATGCTGGGCCGGGTACTCACACACACACACACACACACACACACACACACACACACACACACACACACACACACACACACACACACACACACACACACACACGAGGTAAAGCAGGGGATAGGATGTGGTTATTTTTGTTTAATCTTCCTTTTGTTTGTGTACCAACAGCCATGATGAAATGAAGACCCAATGGGAACACCCAAAGACGGGAAAGAAAAAGCGATGTGCTGGAGGTTTGGTCTTATTAACTTATTTTTCAGTATCATGTGTATATCTGTTTTCTTTAGGTTGGGAACCAGGCTTGGAAATAAGCAGCCATCACAAATAAGGGTGTTTTTTATTTGCAGTGACGGGTGAATTTGATAAAAAAGTAATGTGACATAAAAAAACATGTAAATTGAGCTTCATCGTCCGCTCTGACTTTGAGGAGAGACAGGTGGTCCTGCAGGCTCACATAGCCCCACCTCCTCCTCACATCAGTATTTCTTTTATTATCCTTTTACTTGAATACTGTAAGCCTTGATTATAATGTATTACATATTGCTGCTGCTTAAAATAAAGTGGTGGGTAAAACATAACAGTGACTGGTAGATTTTTGAATCCACCAGTCACAGTGGCAGGTAGACAAACAAGTTAATTTACAACCGTGTTGAGAACAGATAGTCTCGCTCAATATGCAAGTATCTTCTTCAGCAAGTATTTATCTCCTTGATAGAAACAAACTGCATTTCCTCGCCCACAGATTTACCGTATGGTTGGGAGCAAGAAACTGATGAAAAAGGACAGATCATCTATGTTGAGTAAGTGGATTTTACTTTTGAGTAAAGCATATTTTTGTCTCTCTGGATGTGATAAAACAGAATAAAGTCTATAAATAACATCCTATTGTTTCACCCCCTTATCATTTTCAGCCACATCAACAAGCGCACCACATACTTTGACCCCCGGCAGGCTTTCACAGTGGAGGACGTGTCGGTGAAGCCGAAACGTTACGACGGAAACACCGCTGCTCTGGAGATCCTGCAGGGTCGTGACCTCTCTGACAAGGTCGTCCTCATTACTGGAGGCAACTCTGGCATTGGTGAGCTTCTCCTGATCTATAATGCTGCTTAGCTTTGTGGAACGTCACGCAGTTAGGTGTGTTTCTGTGATGACGCCACTAGATGGCGATGTTGCATCAGGATATACGACAAGCCTGCTTGACGAGAGCATCTCTGCAAGTCCCCCATCTCTCCACATTCAGACATTCATCAACATTAGCCCCCAAAATGATACACTTAGACTCAACAAATCACTCCTTAATACCGAACATGATTGTATTGAAGTTCATTAGCTGGGCTGAATTGGATGTCATTGTTAACTGTAATGAATGGTGTCCATTTGTAGCCGGCAAATGCACGGGCTCACTATATAATGGTTTTGGAAACGAATGTATTTCCTCTTTCTTTTTTAGTTTAAATTAGCGTGAGTAGCTGCCATTTGTTCAGACTTGCCGCTTTGTTGGGGAGAGATAATGACAGCGTGAGGGAAATCAAATAAACATAAAAATCGTTAATTGTCTTTATATTCAAATCCTTTATCAGGAGGAAAGTCACAGCAGTGTAATTGCTGTGAATGTATCACAAGATGTTGCTGAGCTGCAGCGCTGCAGTGGATAGATTAACATCAGCCAGGGGACCTTGACTGAACAAAGACACTCGTGAACTGAAATGCCTTCCTGACCTTAATGTTCTTCCATCTATCTATGTCTGTGTCATACAAATACTCAATGATTATTATTAAGTATTACAAATATAAATATGTATGAACTTAAATTCAGAAAAATTGTTCAACCTTATGAACAAACATTTTCAGTAAAGTTTGAGAGAGTTAGTCAGTTTTCCATTTAAAGTTCTAATCTGGTCTTCATAGAAAAGCAATATTATTACAAACATAGTCAAGGAAAGTAAAACGAACACATTGTGCACATATGTTTAAGAAAAATGATATTATATTTAGTGTCAAATGTCCACTTTGGTTCAAAAAAATTCCACAGAAGGTAGCATCCTCCTGCCCTGCAGTAAAGCCGGTCCATGTCTTCCATTTCTTTAATTTTTAAAAGATTTTTAGTTTGAACAAATCCTACACTAGACATGAACTAAAGGCTTGTAATCTCAGATAAGAACAAACTGCCAACTGAATGTTTCTAAATACTGTAGATTCCCATCTTAACCTCCCATAGATATAAAAAATAAAGTCCTGAGATATAGTTCTGAATCCAGATTCATGTCAGAATCAGAATCAGCTTTTATTTGGCTCACAGGAATCTGACTTTGGTGAACTCTGCTCTTAATGTACAAAAAGTACAACAATAAACTCTCTCTCCTTTTTCAAATCTCATCTGAAAACACATCTTTTTAAACTGGCATAGTCAGTCTGATCATTCTCCACCCGGTCTCATAACTCCTTTACATCCTGTACATTTGTTTTTTTTTGTGTTTTTAATGTTAATTTTATCGTTGTGTTGTTACTTCGTTGTTTTTATCTCTGCTCTGTGAGGTGACCTTGAGAGTTTTGAAAGGCACCTTTAAATAAAATGTATTATTATTATTATTATTATTATTATTATTATTAATAATAATAATAATAATAATAATAAATAATAAATATCAACAATAAACACAAAATAAGAAGAGACTATATGTACAAGACTAGAGAAGACTAAATAAGACAAATGAAAATGCTGAGATAAAGATGATAATAGAAATATGTAATTATGCATCCAGTGGATTAATTTACATGAGGTAGAGAGTTTTTGCAGTGTTTACAGTAAAGGTGTGCATAGACTGGTATCAGATGAAGAGGATAATAATAATAATACAGTATTAACATGATTAAGTTATTGACCCTAGAATGAGTTTAGATAATCTTAAGAACATTTACAGTGCGTGGTGGTTTTGATTCATGTCATGAAAGTAACCGAAGTAACCCATTTAATCAAAGTAATTACAAACATAACTGTTAGGTGGGGGTTGTTTCTGTAGTAGATGGACAATGATGAAAACGGAAACAGACTGTGGATCATCTTAGATTTATTCAGCCATGGTCAGACAACACAGAAACACAACACACACGGCTGACAAAGTGCAGACCATCACTGATCCATGCTGAACAAGATCTCACAATCGCTTGCAATCATTGACAATCATTGGCAAAGTGGCAAAGTCTTCATCTTCACAGTGTTGCTTATATTCTGCTAGAAGGTACATCCTACAAATTCCTGGCTGCTTTGGTTCATCTCTAAAAGGCTAGAAAGAAGACATCACCTTGACTCATAAATATCAGACATATAAATTTCTTCAGTCTCAGTCACGTTTCCTCTCAGCTCACAACAGACACTTCAATCCAAATATAACTCTGCAGCAATGAGGTCTCTAACATATATGTATTACAGCTTCACAAACCTAAAAGAAGAATTACTCTTAGATGGTTGACACAATTTAAAGATATAGCCACAAAATTATTAAGATGAATGAACTCATGAAAATACGTACAAACAATAACCCAAAGAGAGGACGGCCAAAGTCCAGTCCAAAAATAGACTGTAGTGAAAGATAGATAGAGAGTCTTAGAGATGTCTAATCTTGTTGTTTTGTATAGAGTTGAGCTGTGTTGAGAGGTTTAAACATGTTTAAACCTCTCAACTCTCACTCCATGTCATCTTTGAATGACTTCGACGAGCACTTAAATCATCCTGTACTTACAAAAAAAAGACCCAAATCACACATTAGATCTATGTTAGTCTTTTTAGGTTATGAATTGATAAAAAAAACAAACAAGCTGGGAGTACCAACTTAAACAGCGTTTCTGCACATTGTAGTCTTAACTCCATCATTACCATATAGATCTTTGGACACTTTGGCATCATCAAGCAATTCCTTTAAAAGTCAACACGACAGTTAACTCTGATTTCAGGCTTTTTTTTTTTAACCTTTTGATTCAAAGTAAAGAAAAATAGTGATGAATGAAGACAGAGGTCTGCTGTAGCTTCACCACAAGAGGGCAAGGGAGGTCCATGCTGAAGCCTTCAACGTTGTCATATTAACTGCGGAACATGTGCTGGTGTTAAGTGTAAAGACTATATAATAAAGAGGACAATTCACATTTAGGATTTGTTGCAATGTATTTAGAAAATAATAAAAAATGCGTTCATCTTAAAAACAAAAAAGCAGAAGCAGCTTTTCTCTAAAGAAAGCGTCCAATAGCTTCAACCCCACAGGCCCTTTTTATAGAGTGTGAATGCTTAATAAACCCATATTAACATAACCTTTGTTTTACTCTCACCACATATTAAATATGCAGCGGCCATAATTAACTGTATTCTAATAGTAATTGCTACTACTCGTGTGCTTCTTTGACATTCCACTAGTGAAATGCGGTTATGCCAATTGGTTGGACCCACTTAGCATTTTAATGGCATCAATAGTGTTTTAATCCAAGTGTCAAGGCTATTTCCATTTTCCTTCACTGCTTCTTCCCTTCACAGGAAATGTGACATTTTTATTAGTGATGGTGGGTTATTATTTAATTAGCACATTTACATTCTCTCTTTGATTTAGTCCTTAATGCATGTGAACATGAAAGGCGCATATATGAGTTTATTTGTGCATGAAATGTCATAGTGTCTCGCTTTTTTTATTGTGTCCAGCCTTGAAGCTCTTTAGCTGCAGGGCTGGGAGGCTAATTCAGTAAATGCAGTTTGTCTTTGCGCTCGGTTCACAACATTAGTCTTCTTCTTCTCTGCTCTCTTTTGTAAATTAACAACCAGTACACAGTCGAGTGGTATTTTTAATTGTGATAATGGAAATGAATGATTGCGGCTTGTTCCCCCCCCCTCTCCTCTTTTAAAGGTTTTCTTACTCTTATAGACCTGTGCTTGTACACCTGTACCTCTACATTGATTCCTAAGCGGCTTTGACCCAGGCCTGAGCCTCCTATCCATCCCCATTACACACTCCTGCTCTGGCTCTAATTCCCCTCCTATCAACTAACTCGCAGGTTATTTACTGGGCCAGGGGTCCATGGAGCAGTTGTCCTTAAAGGGCCATTGTCATGAGATGTCTGGAAACCCACTGACACTGACTTAAAAGAAAAAAACACACTTTATTCCCTTACAGAAAACAAGCGCCCAACATTGTTAAAAAATACAAAATTCTCAACACAAATCTTTGAATCTTCAAACTGAATTGTGAAAAACCTTTTCCTAAAAATAGCTTTTCTGTAAGGCAAAAAAAAAAAAAAAAGTTTTGTCCTTTCCTGCCACACACAGTAATCTTACCCTTTGACATTCCTCTTGGACCTTTTTGTGTACAGACATATATGTGTGCTACTACCTCGGGAGCAGCATCAGTCTCCCAGGTGTCACGTTGTCAGCAGTACATGTGTCGAGCATGCAGTCAGAAATAACACATTGACCCTCCGTATCACATTCAAACATTCAGGTGGCACATTATCTTCCATGTGCTATTTTTATCCCTGAACAGAATGACAGAAAAACTGATTCTGATTACAACTGCATCTTTATTCCTCGGCTCTTATAGTCAAAACATGATTAGAATAAACCGGATGAAAAACTTTTTTTTTACTCTACCTTTGCAGTTTCTTCTTTTTTCTGTCTCATGTTTTAGAATCTAATCTGAACTTTTCTGGCCCCCTTCTGAGCTTGTTGTAGAAGCTTCCCTCAATCTATATGCATGCATTACATCCCCACATGAGGTCGTTTTTTTTTAAGGCACAGGGGTCAACGCCGGGATTGGGAATCAGGGGGGAAAAACTCCGCCCGTCCAGAAAGGGGGGAATGGAAAAAGGATTTGTAAAGAGAGCCGCTTCATAATGTTTGAGGATCTCGATTCATTGTCTGTGCCAGTGTTTTAGGACTTTGAATGTTATTCTTATTCATGAAAGACTAACATTGTTCCATGTTTGTGTTGATCCCTCGTGTTGTGTTTGGGGGAGGATTAAGTGTCAGGGCCGGTGCTCTCCTCTTTCTGGATGGAGAGATCCCTAAGCATATTCAGTGAGTCGCAGAGCCGGGGGAGCCTC